GCTGGGGAATTCTGGGAGTTGAAGTCCACACATCTTAAAGCATGGCTGGCTGGGGAATTCTGGGAGTTGAAGTCCACACATCTTCAAGTTGCTAAGGTTGAGAAACACTGCTCCAGTCCAACCCTCCACCCAGGGCAGGAATCCACCTGTCCTGTGACTGACCTGCATTTTTCAATTAACACCTGGCGGAGAGGCTGCTTAGATAATCTAGCTCTTCCTACCTATTCTGGCAAGCTGAAAGATAACAAACTTCCACTTCTAACCCCAATCAGATAATTATTTCCCTCTTAAATCTTCCTTAATCCTGCTTAATATCTAACCTTCCTTTGCTGTTCCTTAAACTAAGCAATGGGGGTGGGGAGAGGTTGCGGGGTATAAAATGTGCCTAAGAAAAGCAATCCCTTTGTGAGTCAAATTCCAGAGACCCCCTTGCCACTCAGGCCCACCGTGGCAGAGGAAGGAGAGGCCTCTGGTGCCTGGGGATAATTTAAATAAACATTACGCTGTTTGTTTCAGCCCTGGGACCTCTTTTAATGCCTTCCGGCTTCAGTATCCATGCTGCAAATTCTACATTAGTCAGCAATGCAAGGATTTCAGAAAACAGATCATTTGGTCCAATCCCCCCACCCAGGGCAGGAATCCACTACTACAGGCAGTCCTTGTTCAGCAACTGCCTCATTTAGCAACCATTTGCAGTTACAATGGTGATGAAAATGTAACTTTGCAACCATCCTCGCATTTATGACCTTCACAGGTCTGTAAAGCAAAGGAAAGTGGAAGTCAGATTATAACATTGTAATGTTTCACTTGGCAACCACTTTGCTTAATGACTGAGTTGCCGGTCCCAACTGTAGTAGCTAAAGGAGGACTACCTGTATAGTATTCTGCATAATTCTGCTTTGCTCCTGGCCTCAACTAGTGTTCAAACACATACTAGTACATCCTATTGGGTCAAACTCTGGTTGGATTCACACAACATGCATAACCTGATTCCTGGATTACCCCATTTTCTGGATTTGCACAATACTAATGGGCTGTGACTGAGGAATATGCTAAAGTTTAAACACTATCCAGCAGCTGTGTTTGCAACAAACTACGATGATGGGCATCAGTGCAGTTACCTCAATGCTATAATCACATCGACTTACATACTTGACATTTGATACAAGCATGTAAGTTGCAGTATTTGCATAATTACATCCCCGCCCCACCTACCATCATTTCTTCCCTGTTACCTCCCCTCTCCCCCCAGACTAACTATGCTTCACAAGTTGAACCCCAACAGATGCTACTTTTCCACCAACTTGGTTAAGCTGCTTGTGCAAACCCCACCTCTTGAATATGATGAATCTGTCTTCAGCTCTCTTTGCATCAAAATAATACCTTGTGCTCCAACCTTTAGGTTCAAGGGGGATGTATTGGCCAGAATGAGAAAACCTTGAATTTTGCAAAAGCCTAAAGATCCTTTGGAGGAGACAAAAGCTCCTTTGGGGAGAAAGAGCCAAATGAGAAACGGGCTGCCTGCCTCAATAACCACAGAATGATCACTTGAGAGAAGGAATTAAAAAATACACTAATAGCAGAATAGAAAATCCTGTTCCCCTGAACCAGGAGGATTCTGTACTTTAAGGTTTTATTGCAGATCCCTACGGTAATTGTTTTTTCTAATCTTCCAGGTTCTCCTCGCTGGTCATCTCTTCCCACTGACCCTGAAAGGTGGCTTGAATGATAGAGAGGCTTTCAGTTAAGTTTTATGATGGAAGATCCGCTCAAACCACCGAAAAAGAGAAGTTAGACAGTATTACTATGTGGTTTTTCAAAAGTACCACTAATACTAGTGGATCAACCTCAGAGGGATTCTCAAACCTAAATTCTTGGCCAGAACAAGTCATGACACTGGGAAGGATCACACTTTGGGGTCTCTTAGTCCACAGAACCAACACTGAGACTCTGATGATCACATTCGTATGGTGGTTCTGTGCTTACGCTCAGAGATGGAACAGTCAAGTTCATACAAGACGCTAAAACTTTAAACCCAGGTTAGCAAAACAACAGTTGCATGTTCACCTATTTTGCTTAAGCAAAGAAACTGGGTCTGGCTTAAGAAAATGGTCTGATTCAGACAACCCTTCGAAGACAAGGGCTGGGTTCCCACAAAACTACCCAACCTCTTTTAAGCCACATCTCATATGATGTGCATACCCAGCCCATCGGCGCTGCAGGAATGGGACTGGGCATTGCAAAGAAAACTTCAATGAGTTGCTTGGCCCTGTTTACATAGCCTATTTAATTGGATCGTGCAAAGGTTCAGGGGTTGCATTTGCAGAACCTGAGTTTATGGGTTGTGCAAACGCAACCCATTTGTGTTTATGGTTGAATGCACTGTGCAGAATAAACTGGGTCCCATGTATTGGGCAAATACAGCCATATACCCACCCCTAGAAAGAGAGATTTGTCAAGAGCAGCCTGCTGCAAGCCAGTGCCCTCCAGCTGTGCCAGACCATAAGGCCCATCATCCCCACCCCACAAGCTGGGAGAAGGCACATGGGGGGAACCCCAGTCTGCAGCTCCTTTGCTGACCTTTGCCAGGCCAGCTGAAGTAACTCAGCCCTTCCTAAGTTTGCCCGCTGTATCCAGTATCTCTTGCACGGCTGAGCCTCCGTCCTGCTGACACAGGCTGTGCTGAAATTGAATGGCAAAAGTTCACGCCAAATGTCAGGCTGGCTAAATTTAAAGAGTTAAGTCGCTGTTGCACAGCTGACCTGCCGCAAGGGGGAAGGATATCCTTGCAGGCGCAGCTCTTGCAACATTTTAAGGAGGGGGTGCAGGATGGGGCTGGGGGGGACTTCAACTTTGGGACAAGGTTCCTGCTTTGCATGCAGCTGGTCCTGCTTTGCACGTGGGCGTGCAAAGGATTCTTTGTGGGAGGGGGGCAGAGACACAGATTGCTCTTTCCCTACTAGTCCTTCATCCCAAACTGGAGCTGTGATTTCCCACCATCCTATGCGATGCTATAAACAGCTATTAATAGGCACCTCTGCCGCTTTGATCTTGGCCTCCCCCTTGCACTGCCAGCCTGCCTGCCTGCCCCCCCACCCCCCCTGGAGTCCTGCCTGCCTGCTCCGTTAACTTCTTCGTTTTGCCCGGAAAACGAATCAGATCCAGACAACAGCGACCTGCTGCTCTCCTCCGGGTGCGCTGGACTACAACGCCCATCATCTCCGCCGGCCGTCTGGGGACGACGGGGGCTGTGGTTCAAGGCCCCCGACGCCCGCGGGGTG